GCGCGATAAAAAAACTAGCCCGAACAGGTCCGGATAAAAAATTAGCGATTACGCCATTGTAGTGACGGAGCGGAATATAACTTACTGGGCCTAAATCTTAACTATAATTACATAACCGACTATAATAAGGATTTATCCTACCATAGGCTGTATACTATACTGCTTGAAGTCTGTCTCAAGAAGCGCTTGAAGTGTTGCTCGTTGAGTGGAGCTCCACCGTCGCTAGTAGTAGTAGACCGAAGAGACAGAAGAGACGGGCAATCAACAGTGTTTGTCGCGTGCAGTCTCAGGTTCAATCTAACGTTCCCAGTGATAAGCACGCCCGCGGAAACTACCGCGGGTGTCGCCTAATGCGGGACTTACGCGCATAAGCCGCCAGAGCCGTAGTGGCTCAGGCTGAATCACTACATTATTCCCACTTAATGAGTTTTAAAGCCTACTTCTAACTTAAACTAAACTAAAACTAACTTAAAACTACTCCCGTACCGCAGTGCGGGGTCACGCCGTTCCCGCTGGTGGATGGGTCAAGGACCCTCCTTGCCAGCACCGGTGAAGTCTTGGCCTTTCCAGAGGGCGGGCGCCTTTGTCATACCTTAATATATACTGTATTCCGAAATTTGGTACGGGGAATGTTATGTAAAAAAACATGTGTATAGAGACCGAACAATCTCAGATGTAAGAATAGAGCATAGTAAAATGCACTGTATAATGTAAAATGCACTGTATTCCACAATTTGGTATATTTAAGTACTAAATAGGATTCAAGTCCCGGAAATGTCCCAGGGATCAAGAACAGAAAGAAACAGAAATATACCAGTTAACCCTTACCGTGCCGGTGTCACGTGTAAATGACAAAGAATAGCAGTCCTGGCACGGGCGTAAGGGATTAACGGGGGCATTACAGGCATAGAGAAACAGAAATATACCAGTTAACCCTTACCGTGCCGGTTATACATATTACATAATGACAAATTGCAAAACGTCCCGGCACAGGCATAAGGGATTAACCGGGGCATTACATTAAATTCCCAAGGTGACCGAGCATGAAAGTGTGAGTGATCAACATAAACGATGAATGGCAATAAGTGTGCAGAAAAGGGGAAGAGCCCAATGGCTCCCCATTCCCCAAGTGCAGTTTGGATGGTACAATGTCCAGAAACTGGGCAATCCCACATGAGAGCCAAACGGCTCCCTACAGGCAGTCCAAACGGTGCATATAAGAAGTATTAGAATGATAAGAGCAGATCACTGAAATCAGATGGAAAATGATATAGAAGGTGAAAACACTTCAACAAAATAAGATTACATTTTCTGGGCCACTCGGCACCCGGGGGCACAATAGCCACTACCGGCAAGTTCCTGATATCATTCAGGGCACCCAGGCCCACAACACCATCAAGCAAATCCAAAAGGCTCTTGTTGATCCAGAGGAATTACTCCAGAGGAATTACTCCCCCAAAACAAAAGCCGGCCGTTTTATGGCCTCGAACACACATGGGTGCTCTGTCTCCCTGTGGAAAGAATGCTTCCTAGTCAGCTCTTAAAGCGGAGCAGCTAATTCAGCATAGATAACTCTGCTAACCGAAGCAGAAACTTTTCAGTTTTATTTAATTGTTATCCATTCAGTTTAAAAACATCAACACTTAAAGTTCAGGAACTCAGAATGGACGATTTACAATGAAATTAAACAGTGTAAACAAAAGTGAACTAAAATATATATATTTAAGACAAACATGTTATTTCCCAGGAACAGGAACCGGCACCATGTCCTCGCGGACGAGCCGTTGTGAATGGCTTTGATAATGAACCATAATATATATACTTAACATGTTATTTCCCCCGATCAAACACGATCCGAGGAATCCAAAATGGGAGCCTGCGGGTGGGCTGGAAAAGGGAAAGGTCCTTACTCTGGAGCCCTGGACTCCCAACAACCTTACATCCTACCCGCTTCCCACTAGAAGGAGGCACCATGGCCGTCCTAGCGACTACCTGGACAAAGGGACCGACCGAAGAGTCAGGCGGGTCACTAACATTATTTACCTTGACAAAGGGACCGACCGAAGAGTCAGGCGGGTCACTAACATTAACTACCTTGTCCAAGGGACCGACCGAAGAGTCAGGTGGGTCACTAACATTAACTACCTTGTCCAAGGGACCGACCGAAGAGTCAGGCGGGTCACTAACTACATTAACTACCCCAGTATTTACCGATTGTAGGCCTCTCGATTTCCAGATCGGAGATCGGCCTCGCTCTCCGACCCCTCCAGGTTTTCCGGAACACCAGTAGCCACGGGAGATAGAGGGCGGGCATTGGAAAGCATAGAAAACTCCAAAGACTTAACAGTCTTCAGTATTTCTTCTAGCATACAATCGGTATTGTACGCATGCGTCTTAAGACTGGCGACTTCCTCTTTTAAATAGCCAATGTCATTCCTGGCCTGAACTTCAAAAGGCGTTGTGACCTTCCCCCGGTCCTCCACAGGAGCCAGACGGGGAACATCTTGACCTTCGGAAACTGTTGGGGAACGATTTAGGGGATGGGGTTGCCTCTGATGATAAATTACCGTATCATACCTGTCCACCTCCTGATCGTACATGCAAGTCTGCTGCACCTGCTGCCGAGAAGCCGAATACGTACGGCGAGCCTCGCTCCCATAAACAACACGTTGGGTATGTTGCGCCCACCTGATGGCTTCCAGGGCCTCCTCGACGGACTTCGGGCGCGTATTGAGAGCTGTTAAACCCGCCGCCTTATCCGTACAACCCTGGCATAACTGCAATACCATTTGAGTGCCGTCACCCCGTTGGTCCCACCCAAAAGCTTCAAAGGACAAAGCTTGGAGCCGATCGGACCACCCAAGGAGAGACTCCTCCGGGAGTTGGCGAGCCGTTCGAAATTCGGCTATGGCCTCCTCCGGGAATCGGGTAGCCCCAAACCGACGCCCCATCGCTGTTAACATATGGTAATAAGAATTAGTGCCCATATCCCTAAGGTTCGAAAAACAATCTGAGGCCGACCCCTCCAAACACCAGCCTAGCGCATCCAAACACTCGCTTGGACTCCACTGACACGATACAGCATAACTGGTGAACTTCCTGAGAAAGGAATGCCAACTTGTTCGCCCATCGTAATTAAGTGACCTCGGCAGACGGGGGGGCCAATCCCGGCGCCCCTGCGACCGGTACTCTCCCTGACCCCCAGGTGAGGATTCCCTGGGAGGATACTGAATGTCAGGTCGGGATTCCCCAGAAGGGGGATATACATAATCCCGACGTGGGGGTTCCCTGGAAAGCGGACCACAATTACTAGAAGGGGATTCTCTAGACGGGGGATAATAATAATCCCTACGGGGGGGTTCCCTGGAAGATGGACCATGATTATTAGGAGGGAAATCCCTAGAAGAGGGATAATCCCTACGTGGGGGTTCCCTGGAGGGTACACTGCTATCATCCCTAAGCCGATAGTCGGCGGAGGGCCCGGCTGGGGAGGGCGCAGACCCGGATATAGGCCCAGCTGGGCCTTCACCCGAAAATGGGGGGTACACTGTATGCCCATAAGGAACGGGACCCGGACTCTGGACAGACTGGGTTTGTGCAGTCAAGGTAATTTGCCCAGTCCCCTCCCCCACCCCCTGTGCCTGCTCAGCCTGATCCACCCGATAAGGCTCAAAATCAAATAAATGTACCAGCTCCTTGGCTTCATGGAGACGGGGACACTGCAAAAATAACTCCTCAGTTAAACTCCCACATTGCTCCCTCCAACTAAAAATCTTGTGGGACTTAGTTCTATCCACAACGGCCAGATTGGAAATCTATTGGGGTTTCCCCGCGCAGGTTCGAATCCTGCCGATTACGCCATTGTAGTGACGGAGCGGAATATGACTTACTGGGCCTAAATCTTAACTATAATTACATAACTAACTATAATAAGGATTTATCCTACCATAGGCTGTATACTATACTGCTTGAAGTCTGTCTCAAGAAGCGCTTGAAGTGTTGCTCGTTGAGTGGAGCTCCACCGTCGCTAGTAGTAGTAGACCGAAGAGACAGAAGAGACGGGCAATCAACAGTGTTTGTCGCGTGCAGTCTCAGGTTCAATCTAACGTTCCCAGTGATAAGCACGCCCGCGGAAACTACCGCGGGTGTCGCCTAATGCGGGACTTACGCGCATAAGCCGCCAGAGCCGTAGTGGCTCAGGCTGAATCACTACATAATCATTGCTTCGAATGTTTCCAAGCATTGAATTTTGATAACCTTGTCGAATCAAAGTTTCAACTTTGCAATAATGAAAATAGTTTTTAAAATCAATGAATATCTACTTTAAGGCCAGCCTAGGGCTAGGCGAGGTCAAATTTTTTGTCAGATTCAGGTGAAAATTGCTACCAAGACAAGGGTTACCGTCTACGCGTCTGTATGCGGAAAGCTGGCGAAGGTTGACCAATTTCATTTTCATAAAGAAATCGACGATACCGGATAGTCCTCAGCCTGGACTGTTTCTGTGTTGCATGCCTAATCAGCTAAGAAAATAACACACCCTCAACGCTCAACCGGAGACAGTACTTGCCTCTCATTTCATTTGCCTCTCATTGAGTCATTCTCTACCCAGTTTTAAGGTTTGTTTTGCCTTTTTTAATTGAGGGGGTGGGTGTGGAGAGACACCACAGACAGCACTCTGTGTGGGATGCAAGTAAGGGAGGACATATATGATTGAAGAATAACAAATATATGAAAACGAACAGAATCTGGACTAGATACCAGACGGTTATTTATTGCGAATTTATAATCAATCAAGGTGAATCTGATAGCTGAGCAGAGGTGGAGGCACGGCGCGGCGAAGGGGATGGTCCCCCGAGCTGAGCCATGGAAAGCGAGAACTCGTCTCTACATCTGGCGAGAAATATAGCTATCTCTCAAGTCACCTAGTAGCCTAGACCTTCTAGGCGAGTAGAATCTAAATTAAAATAAGACACTCAAATTGTGATTGAAATTATATTTACCTATTTGATCTCCACGTCGTTAGGCCTGGCCTGGCTTACACCACTTCAAAGTTGTAAAAGCTAACGTTGAGCAAGGCCGAGGGTGGTGGTTTCCATTAAAAACGAAACACAACATTGCTCCTTCATTTTCCTCAGCTACTTTGCACACCCGTGTTCGCAGCTATATCCAAAGTTCAAGCGACGCACATGTAAATGTCAATGTTGGATATACCGAGGTACCCGGAAGTGTTTTTTCCCGCTGACTTGAAGACTTTTTATGATCAAATTATAAGTTTTTGTTTGATTATTATTTTGTGTGTGCGCGTGTGTGCATGAGAAAACTATCTCCTCGGATGATAATACCTCGTCTGATCAAGATAAATCGGGGGCTCAAGGCCTCCCCAGATCGACCCTCTCTAGAATGAATACCAAAATGATGTTGGCTCATTATAAAATTCTTTGGAATTATTTGAATAATTTTATATAATTTCTCAAGATATAATTTTTATCATAAAAACCAGAGGCAGCCCTCCCGGGGGCAGGGGGAAGTGCCCCCCCACACTTTGTAGTTACCCCCAAACTTGGAGGCCCAAGTGTCCCTTTTAACATAGGACAAGTGCCCCTTCCCCATGATGCACCTTTTCATTTTCATAAGTGCACCCCCCCCCCCCCCATTTATTTCATAGGATCCCCTTCACTTTCTCATAAATATCCCTTTTCACCTCTAATGTACCTATTAAAATCTGATAAGTGTCCCTATCCTTTCTCATAAGTGCCCTTTTTAATCTCTGGAAATTGTCCCTTTTCAGGTACGAGAAGTACCCCTTACCACCTCTGAGAAGTGCCCCCTTCACCTCTGATAATTGCTCCTAATCAAATTTGACAGGTACACGTTTTACTTTGATAAGTGCCTCTGTTCCTTTGTAATAATTTCCCCCTTCTCCTTCTGATAGGTTCCCATTTTCCTTCTGAAAAGTATCCCTTTTACTTTTTGTAAGTGCCTCTTTTCAGGTCCGATAAATTCCCCTTTTCACCTGTGATATTTTTGCCCTTTTAGACTTTGACTCGTGCCCTTTTCCCTTTCTCTATGGCATCGTTTAACAATGTTAAATCTGAGATGCGTGGCCCTACGTGTAATCACTAATCAGTGTCTGTGATATGATGTAATATTGAAGCCCTAACAAAATTGCGCTTTCATGAAGTGCCTCAAGTACTTTGAGTGACCGGTTTTACCATGTTCACTTCCCCCAATAGACTTTAGTGTTATAAAAACCGTAAGAAAGCGCAAAACTTGATTTCGATTTCAAGTCATATCTTGATTTTGTAGATATTGTAGATTTTTTGTGTGAATTCGGTATATAAAACTCAGTGTTATTTAGGGCACGTACACGTATGCCTTTTCCCTCCCTTTGCAAGTACCCCCTATCTCAGGACGTACTGCCAACATGTCACTGAACCCACTTTATATCGGGCTTTTCCTACCTTAGAGACCCCCTAAATCCGGACCACTGCTCAATGTACCCCCACTCTATTTTATAACCCGGCCTTTGACAAAATTCAGGAGTCAAAAGAGAGAAAGAGAGAGAGGGAGAGAGAGAGAGAGAGAGAGAGAGAGAGAGACACCCCCTTTTTAATATTTTATAACCCCCTTTTTAAATTTCCCAGGAATCCAAAGAGAGAGAGAGAGAGAAAAAAAAAGAAAAAAAACTTTTAAAAGAAATCTCTGGGTGATAAGTCAAATACACCCCCCTTTTTTAAAACCCTTTTTTCTTTTTTACAATTCTCGGGTCGAAGTTTGTCGCGCGAAAAGTATTCCTTTTATACCGGAGATTTGGGGAGCACGAATGCGTTGGCTGGGCTGTGAATAATCACTTGGATTGAGAACAGTTGATTTAATCCAGCAACGTTTCAAAGGGATATATTATAATATCGGTGAAATTGTACTTATGACGGTCTCGTTTTCAAAACGCTGCCAAGATAGCTTTGGAAAATTAGCACTCGAATGTTTTAGCAGTTTTTAGATACGCGTGTCGCTCACACAGAGCTCGTCTAATTTCCTCCCATCTCCCTGAGGCAACCAACTAAATTGCAGAATTATGAAAAATATATTTTGAAAAATCAAAATAAATTATATGGGGAGGGGGGGGGGCAAGATTATGTGGATGACATGTTTATAAAAGTGATTTGTGGTACGGTTAGACTCATTCGTACAAGAGGAAAATATCGGTCTAGATCTATTTAAAAGAAAAATATGAGCTGTACCTTAATTTCCTTGAACATCATCTTTTTACTTGGAGTTTGTTCGTCCGTTGTTCATTTTCTTGTTTATTTATTTATTTGGTTTTTTTTGTTAGTTTGACATTACAACAATTAATCTTCTTTGACGATCATTATGTTAGAGTGATGAATATTAGTAGGCACCCTAAACATTAATTTTAAAGCTATATTTTTTCATAATCCAGGGGCATTTTGAAGTAACCTCAACAAATACCCGGGAACAAATCCATCCTTCATGGTGACACCAAGCTATCACATGATAATTAGACCATCAATCATCGCTCATGTTCAATAATCAGTATAATTGAAAACATTTGACGAAACTGTTTAACCAAATACCGCGCCAAAACAAAATCCGCAGTTTGCAGCTGTTGTGTTTGTAGACCGAAAATGTCTGTCTCTTTCGTTCGTTTGCCTCTTATTTGGGTGGGGTCGGCGTCTCTCTTTAGAGACAGAAACATGACAGCAGACCCTATGGCCGGCTTCTGTTTCTAAAGAAAGGAGCTGACCCTATATTAAGAGGCTAACGAATTAACAAAAGAGACAGAAAGTTTCTGTCTATCGTGCTTGGGGTATTCCCCGACATGCATCCAGGCGCGGATCCAGGATTTCTTAGGGGGGGGGGGGCCCAAATTTGAAATTTTGCGAGCCAAATATTGGTACGTAATGGTGACCAACAGTGACATAATGCGGGGGGGGGGGGGGTCGGTGCAGGGAGGGGCGAGTTTCCCCCTCCCTCTGTGGGAATATCTAATAACGTCTTTATACAAGACTATATATTTGCAACGTTGAAACGACGACACGAAGTGAAAGTAAAACATAACCAAATCGTACTACCCTTTTGTGTCGATTCTCCTTTTGTCGTCTGAATAATACTACATGGTGGCAGCAGTGGGATAAGTGAAGAACCATGGAAAGTTCTCGTCTACCATTGCCAGAAAGCTTTGATAAAGTTGCAGGCTTAAATCAAGCAGAACAATGGCCAAAATGGTCACGGCGGTTCGAGAGATATCGCGTCGCATCGGGCCTCGCATCCAAGCCAGACAGTGAGCAGGTTAGTACGCTACTCTATGCTATGGGTGAATGTGCCGATGATATTATCGTGTCTCTCAATGTGAAAGAGGAGACAGCAAAGTATGATGACGTGATCGCAACATTGAAGAAGTATTTCAATGTACGGAAAAACATTATTGTTGAAAGGGCAAAATTCAACAAACGAACACAACGCCCGGGAGAAAGTGTGGACACATTTATCAATGATTTGTACAGGCTAGCAGAGGACTGTGACTACGATAGACTTAAGGAGGGCTTGATAAGAGACAGAATTGTAGTTGGGGTGCTTGATGACTCCCTATCTGATCAACTACAGTCTAGAGAAGACCTAACTCTCTCAAAAGCAGTTCAATTGAGTAGAGTAAAGTACCCGGTTTTCGGCCACTTAAGACAAAATCCTATTTATTGGACTCTTTACTTCCTATTTATTATCATTTCTTGTTCAAATCATGAAGCAAATATTATTATTATTTAAACAAAAAAAGAATCCCCAAAAAAAATCACGAATTGCCATGACAATATTCATTTCAATTTTCACTGTTTTGGAGCCGGTTATCGGCCGAGCGTTTCAGTTTACGGCCGCATGTACAAAGTCAATAGGAAGCGCTCGCGCGCGCCGTGCGTTTGTGCGCTGATGTATAGCACAAGCGGGCGGAGCAGGTATCCCACGCCGGAGCTCCCGGGTGCTCGCCTGACCGAATACAGGCACAGCGGTGATCGGAAGTTGGAATCTAAATTAGACGGACATATCGTGTGTGCGTCGCGGTGTGCGGCTGCATTGATTTAATACATGCGATGAGATACTTTTGAGCTTGCGACCAGCACAAAATCGGGCTCTATATCTGAAAAATACTTGAAATAAAGCTCATTTTATGGTACCCATATTTCTTACATACACGCGTAAGAAACTCGATTTTTCAGATTTGGGTAGCGGGACCGCCGATTACATCGCTAAAATGTGATATTTTAGGATATATTTTTCATTGCAAATGTGGTTCTTCAGTGACACTGGCATGGTATGGTATGTGTGGGATATGTGTTATGCTATTATGCGATGTATTTTAAAGTGATTTTACCATGTATCCAACCAATTGGCCGAAAACCGGAGCTGACCGATTACCGGGTACTTTACTCTAGACAGTCAGAAGCCCGGAAACAAAACAAGTCTGTTGTGAGGGGAGGTGCAGAGAGTGAGAGCCCTAACTCGGCCGTAAACTACGTAAGGCCTAAGAGCAAGGGAACGTACTCGAAGAAAACATCTCAAACTCCGCAGGGTAACTGTAAGTGGTGTGGAAGGCAGAATCATGCACGTGCCAGCTGTCCCGCAAAAGATGCAAAGTGCCATCAATGTGGAAAGATGGGCCACTTCCAGTCTGTGTGTCAAGCCAAACAACCAGAACAGGGAAAACAAGAGGCAGCAAAGCTAAAATGGAAAGCTCGAGTCAGCGAAGTAGATGATTTCGATGACATTGATGTCCCCTTCCTTGGTGAAGTCAGCGAGAACGATCAGACGTACTGGAGTTCATCGATCCTCGTTGATGGGAATGAAACACACTTCAAGTTAGACACAGGAGCAGCCGTTACTGTGTTGTCTGATTCCACTCCATGGCTGAATAAACACATCATGAGACCAACAACCAAGAGGTTACGTGGTCCAGGAAGTACAGTCCTGACTGTAATAGGACAAATGACATCAACTCTCAGGCATAGAGATAAACAGATCAAGGAGACTCTCTATGTGGTCAAAGATCAGGAGTCTTCATTGCTGAGTAGGAAAGCGTGTAGAACCTTGAATCTAGTCCGCAGAGTGGAGGAAGTCGATTCTTGTGATGATGAAACTGCAAACTTCAAGGCTGA